GCCGAGAAAGCTTTTAAAGTTTGGAACCAGGAATCTTACCGAAATACTGAGCATGATGTTATTGCCTTCCCACTCGGGCCAAATGTAACATTGTGAAACCCACTGACGTTCTCGCAACTTCTTGAAGTTGTCACTTCAAAAAAAGATGCCTCGTTGATTAAATGTTATCGTCTGGTAGTACAATGTACTAGCATTTGCGGTACTTACAGTCGAGGCCCCTGTGTGTTCTGTCATGATTGACTGTTCCTCTAGATCAGCAATGACGAGATCATTTTGGCTATTCCCCTCTTTATCTAACAAGGTATCCGATTCTTCACTCTCCTCTTCACTGCCCAACAACTGACGTCCGTTGTCTGGACTTTGATGATGATGATGATGATGATGATGATGATGATAATAGTAATGATAGTGATAATGGGAAATTTTACAGCGATCGGACAAGGAAAAAAACACTTTAGAGGCGATTGAAAAATATCGGTATGGCCTCTGAAAAACTGTATCGAAACACCTTAAGCCTAGCGACGTCCTTGTAATGCGTTTTCCCGCCCACTCAGCGAATTTAAAAAAGCGAAAAATAGACGAAATGAGTGGAAGAAGATTACACCATGGAAGAACAAGATTGACGGACCAAATTTGCATTGATTTAATCGACAGCAGATATGAAGCTAAACTTGTGCAAGATTTTGACAACTGCTCAGTTGAGGAAAATTGTCGGAAAATCGGTATCGTGGATTCGGCAGCACAAAATCTTAAGAGATAAATTTGCATATTTGGAGAGAACCTGTACGAATACATGATGAACTTCAGGAACAAATTTAAGGGAGAACAATGAACCAGCCCATAACTGACCTGACGCAACGCGCGTGATAATCCACTAAGCTAATCATGCAAGCCCATTGGAGAGCAGGCCATTGTGCATTCTTCAGTAATATACCTGATGCAGGAATACGTAACATACATACATTGCCTTTAATTATCCTCAGATTTACATGGCTGGAAATATATGAAATGACTCATATTTTGAACTGCGTCCGGTCATCGCAAAGGACGTCAGGGTTCGATCGATATTCCCAGTCAAGCCTTATTTTTTTCAGTTTCTTTTTCAACCACTTACAATAGGCTGTTGTCCTGCCTAAATTAGCGTTATAGCTATTTGCAGCACATAAAGTAGTGTAACCTAAATATTATTTTCTTTAATTCAACAGATTTTTGTTGTAGGTTGTTGGTGTCGCTTGCGTAAGCAGCGAGACTATAATAATCTACAACGCGTTTTTCCCCCGGGGAGGGGGTTAGTCCCTTATATAGGCTATATAAGTAAGTGCAGCGCTAAAGGGTATGTTTTTTTAGCCGTTTTGGTCTGAAATAGGGTATGGTTTTTGCACTCTAGTCTTGAATTGGGTATGTTTTTTTAGAAGAAGCTACGTCATCATTTGGCGATAAGACAGGAGCCCATCAAATGGAGCCTCCATCTCCATTAATTTCTTGAGTCAACCCTTTCCCGAGTAGATTTATAAATAGAACGGCTTGTTTCCCGCGAAAAGTGTCATATTTCCGTGAGTCTCGTATGTCACCGTGAAAAAAATGAAGTTGGATGAAGTCGAACTCAGAAGCCCGTCCTTCGACCGTTTTCCTTTTTTACTATACGTCCATTTTTACAGTTTTACAGCCGCTGGGATCTGGGATGAAATAAAAGTTAATGAATTACCCGACTGAGACTGAGCATGAAGCAATGGGACAAAGGCAGCGAACTGAGGATCACGGAAAATTTCTTTGCGAGTGTTTGTTTTTGCTTTGTTTTTTTTTGCCGTCATCATCCCACATTTAAGCATGCACCGTGAAAAGAGTCGACGATTAAGCGTTCTGTGGACGATTTGAAACTTTTCGATGATCAGCGCCGAAAAAGTGCCAGGATCATTTGATTTTTGTTATCGCCGTGGAGTGGATTTCGCCAATTAAGCACCGCGTGCAAAAGCGATGACCTAAGTAGCAACTAAGGAGGAATGCTTCAGAAAAATTGCAGTCTTCCTTTACAACTGACTTGTATCACCATGAGAGTTGCCTGATAAAACTGGTACTTACAAAGTTGAACAGAAGACAACAGTTGCTCGACCGTGAAGCTAACTCAAAAGTAATTTGCAAAGGCCGAGGAATTTGTGACATCGCGCTCCAGTCCAAAGACCCTCTTATCTCAAGGAAAACAAAATGGATTGTATCTGCGCCCAAAGAATTATTACTGACTAACAGGAGAATTCTCAGCAATTAATTTAGAAGTTTAGGCCAATTCTTTCCTTCGAATTCGCATCTGTAGATCACTTTTTTGCGAGAAAACAATGGCTGGGCTCGGCGTTACAAAACATAGCAGGGAATCATCACACTAACTGACGCACAAAACAACCACAGTATTTATTCAGACAAACGCATTTCGGAGAAAAACTTGAAAAACTAGAAATTGATTAATATTGAGTCATTTAGCCGAAATAAGAACCTTCACGCTAAAAAAAATTGGCTAAAACGAATCCTGTCAGAACTACAGACTGCAGATAGTAGTTAATCATTACGCATGTAACAGACCAGCTTCATGGCCTCTTATAAATGTGAGACAAGCAACCAAAATTAAGATTAACATAGTCAGCGTTTAAAACTCTCCACAGTATAATCTACCCGCCAGAAAGAAAAGAAAGAAAATCTCTGAGGGATGAAAACGCTAAAGTCACGTTTCACTAGCTTATGATTTTGTTTGGCCTGTCACAATAGCACTGTCATTTAGTCGTTGTGATTGGCTCTTCCCACCGTTGGCGCGCGAAGTCTCCCCTGGGAACCGTTCTAATTATAAATCTACTCGGGAAAGGGTTGACTCCAAGGGCTTGTATGGGAGATGGAGGCTCCATTTGATGGGCTCCTGGATAAGACCATTTCCCTTTTAATGTTTACTCATTCACGCGCCGGGCTCCAGGGCTTCAGATCTGAAATAGGGTATCAAATTTTTGATTAGGTCTGAAATAGGGTAGGGAAAGTCACAGATTTTGGTCTGAAATAGGGTAAGGAATTCAGCTCTGGAAACATTCCCCCCCTCCCGGGCTTTTTCATCGTATTTTATACAGCTATTTCGAGAAAGGTTGTCGGAAAAAATGTGCACGCGACAATTCCGAAAGGTAATATGGGATATGATCAATACACTGTTCCTGACGACTGTAGCTGTTGAACATACTTTTGTTGCTTTCCTTTAGCACTCGCAAACATATGTCCGTGGCCTCCCGTGCCATTTTTTCAAATTCCTTTGAAGATCAGAGCACTCGAAACTACCCACAATACCTTTCGGGATTGTAGCGTGCACTTTTTCCGACAATCCTCGCGAAATAGCTGTTTACAAATGGGGGGAGGGGTCATTGTGCCAAGCATTCCTTGCAGAGACCGTGGAAACTGGGACTACGAATCGTTGCGAGATCGAAGACATGCATATTTTGCCACAGGCGGCCCAGACGTAGTGTGTGTCAATATATTAATATTCACATGCACAAATTAATGCGATGAGTCGTCGAAACTCCCACGAACTACAATGGTCCAAAAGTCAAAATATAACAAAACAAAGCTAAGTTACCTTTAACTCAACGTATCCTTGTCTTTCCTGGTCGGTGAAAGTGGAATTTTGTTGAGTTTTGCAATTGTAGGTACTATCCAATAAAGAAGAATTAAAGGCTGGCTACAAAACAAACGGACCATCTCCACGCGCCTTCACGCGAAGCGCTATAAATTCGAGAATAATCGACGAATCCGCTCCAAATTGCCATCGGCTAATCTGCAGGTAACGTGTGCTCCGGTTTCTTCCTCGCTTGCTCCACAAAACCCATCGCAACTGCACAATAATCGCTCGCTCATCAACAAACACTGTTGACCTTTAGGCTTTGATATGACCGCAAACTACCAGGTTTAATACGTGACGTGAATACTTGAATTGGAAGCAAAGTACAAGATACATTTGAAGTTGAAGATACATTTGCAATGTACATCACAATGTATGTAGCAGGAGTTTCAGCCAAAATTGCTAAGGGATATTCCAAAAATGTCGAGGAGTAAGTCATTCGACTTCAGGACAAGGTTTAGAGCAATTTATAGTGCTTCCAAGACTAGAAAGTACCTTTTAAAGAATAGCCCGATTAACAATCGGTTTTTGTTTAAAGAATATTGAAGCAAACACTGGAGGAATTACTCGTCCCGAAAAACTCGAACTGGTAGCTTGTTCTATCTCAGAGGAATTTATTTTTGAAATTCCAAAACAATTTCAAGGCTGAATTTTGGGAACAACTTTTAGTTACGGACTTCTGCTCCAACGATTTCTCTGAAATTTCTCTGCTATGTCATTAAAAGCCGGTACCAGAATTCCAGTAAAAAATATTAGCAATTGTTTTTTTTGCGTTGTTCACCGACTTTTCGAATAATATTTATGTATTTATACGTTATGTGGCTACTATTACAATGAAGCGTTTTATGATGAATCGCTATTAAAAATTGCTTTCAAACACCGCTATGATGAGCTACAACTTTTATGATGCGGAGTGCTCATCGCGCTACCCGGCCGCAAGGCATGGCCTATTTTATTATAGTGTGCATTTAGCTGGCATTTTAAGCAAAACGTTTGCCTCATCCGATACTGTGTGTTTTGGTCACCGGACAGGCGCTATTTGCAGGTATTTCTAAGTTTATATGGGGCAAACAGAGAGATCAGTAAGGTTTGTTTACAAATTATTTTTGGCTAAGTGAAAATACGCGTAGGTAAATGTTTGTTTCAAAACAGGCCAGGGTTGTTAATCTTATTCTTATCGGCTGCAACATATATCTGAGGAATACCAGAGAATAAATATGAATGATGGGGACTGATATAAAATCGATCAAAACCGACTCCCGCTTCGCCAACAATGAATCTTGAATTATGTAAATTTCCTTGCGTGCATCTTACTCGCCTCCGATTGGTTCAAAAACAATCTGCTACTGTCAAACATCACACATGCGCACTATCGTGACACCGTCCCTTTAAGCGCTAATTTCGCAAAAAACATTTACCCACAATGAAATCGGAATATTTCTTATTATTGCTGAATAATATCTGTTGTTCTTTGGAAAGTTTCGAAGCCATATCGTGTTAAAAACGAAAAAGGTTATGACGAAAAGTTCGTCATAACTCAATGCTCCTTTATTAATGACGGAGCCACCTTAATTTAGGTCGACGCCCAAATTATCATTTTGGGCCCCGTTCAGACGCCGCTCTGACTCATGTGCCGAACCTAACTGATGAATTAAGAGCGGCAAAAGAGCGGCGTCTGAATCAATTTGGTACGGCAGTTTTAGTTTGGTGCAACAAAAGCATTAAGTTCGAACTTTTGTTGAACTTAACTTAGGTTCGACACACGGTAGCCGTCTGATTCAGATGTCGCTCCAAAGTCGAACTAATTCAGTTAGGTTCGGCACATGAAAAGTACGGCATCTGAACCAGGCCTTAGTTCTTCTCATAAAAATATCAACGTGTGGCCTTGCCCTCAGTCGTATTACCACTGTTTAAAAAACAATACGAGGAAAATTAAATATTAAGGCCCTTCATCAAGTACAGACAATTTTCTGTGACATTTTTGCTGCCTACATTTTTTGATGTGGCTATTTTATGGTAAATTATTTGCGGTTTCCCAATCCCATAGGCCATGCTTGGGATTCCTTCTAGGTTAGCTTTTAAGGCTAGCAAAGTATTTACTAGGCAGAGCGTGTTGTTCATTGGTACTCCTAAACATATTTTCCAACATTACTTTAGTTTCAGTTTACAAAAGCTGTGCCGAACATTACAAAGGAGGTCAACGAATAAGTGGTGTTTACCGCGTCGACCCTGATAATGCCGGTGCCTTTGATGTGTATTGTGACCAAACAACAGCAGGTGGGGGTTGGACAGTGTTTCAGAAAAGACTTAACGGCTCAGTTGACTTCGATCGCGTTTGGAAAGACTATAAACAAGGCTTTGGGAGTCTAAGGGGCGAATTTTGGCTTGGACTGGATAAGGTTCACCGTCTGACGAAAGAACGAAGTAAGCTTCGGGTGGAACTCGAAGATTTTAACGGACAAACAGCTTACGCTGAGTACGACTTGTTTGGCGTTGCTGACGAAGGAAACAAATACAGGCTAACCCTTGGAACGTATGCAGGTTAGTGCTTTGAGGGGAACAGACTGGATGGGTTCACCTCCATAAAGCAAATGTTGATTAAGTCAGTACATTGACGGGAAGCAAAAGTTTACCTTACTTACAATGACATGCATATGAGATTGTGACAAGATCAATTTATTGAACGTTCAGAGGTTCAACTTCCCGGCCATTTTTGTGAATTGCCAGCTTCTTGCCTTCTGCCATTTGCTGTTTTTGACAGAACTATGTTACGCCGGTTTTGTTCAGATAGTATCTTCAAGAGCTACACTTTAAATTCGAGGTTACAGTAAAGTTGATGTACCATGCGTGATGTGATGTGATCGATTATTTGTGAATGGAGATCAGCTAAGTGCACATCCACTATAAACAGGGGTTTACATTTTACATTTGTATCAAAATTTTTGTTTGTTTCTATATTCCTCACTTCATTAATTTGCTGTGATTAATTCATTTTTCTAATCACAGTATTTTCTCCTTAAAACTTGGGAGTTACTTTAACGTGGACCAGAGAGATAATGGGTAATGGGGTTGAGGCCTTGTTTGTATTTTCAATTTTCCTGTTAACCCTCCTGTTCGTTGCCCGTTCCCCGTTTTAATTAGGTCCTTGAAAACTGCATGCACCAATTTTTAACTTTTACTTAAAATTATCTTTAATTTTACCCAAAACAAGAAAGTATTTTAGTGACACCATTCTATTTTGAAAATATGATGTCGTTTCAATTCTTTATTTATCTTTGTAGGAACTGCCGGCGATTCATTTTCGTATCATAATGGTATGGCGTTCTCCACCAAAGATCAAGACAATGGTGAAGGCTATTGTGCCCCGTACTGGAAGGGAGGCTGGTGGTTCAAAGACTGTCACTATGCCTTTCTAAACGGCTTCTATTATAAAGGCTCACACTCCAACTCTAGGCCGGGAGGTGTGGTGTGGTATCACTGGAAGGGTGTCTTTTACTCCGTTAAACATGCCGAGATGAAAATCAAACCTGTTAACATTTAAGAAACGGTTTTCAAGTTTATTCTTATTAAACTTTGAATGTGATATCGCGTTAATATGTCATTGCGGTGCAAAAGGAGACATTTTTTGAATCAAAGGGAAGTTTACATTTTCTCCATTTTGTCAACTACAGTGTACCTTCAAAACGTTTTTTCTTTTACAACTATATATAAGTTCCCGTTTGTCTCTTTTGTGTCGACTAAAGAAAAACGTAGTAATGCTATGAATTCAAAAGAAGCAAAATGAAATAAAATGCGAAACAACTTTAAACTATTTTCGGTCTCAATCTCCACTTGGCCATATAAATTTGTTCATAACCTTGGAAGGAATACTCGAAAAATAGTATTTAGGTCTGATTTTAGTGAACTTACAGTTCCTTTCTGATAAACATATACATTCATCACATTTTGTCTCTTTCATGCAAGGGAACATGCGAACTAATAATATTTATTATATAGACACGAGTGTTTTACTGGAAATATACCACTCGTAAAATTCATAAAAACTACAACGGGGACCCGAGTGGTTTATTTTCCATAATCTCACACGTGAGTTTATCGAAGACGTAATTTTGGTCATTTCCCTCTATTATTTTATCGATATCTTTTTGTCTATATAATAAAAAGAACATTACACGGCGGCTTAAAGATATGAATTTTATTTTCTCGTAAAATAAAATTCATATCTTCGCGCCACCGTGTAATATCCTCTATATAATTAACCTACTCCCAACATTAGTGGCTTCATAGCTTAGTTGGTTTATAGAGCATCGCACCAGTATCGCGAGGTCCCGGGTTCAAATCCCGTTGAAGATTTTTTTTTTTCAGGCTTCTCTTACGCAATTGCATAAATTGCGTTCACAACTGCGCGAGGATCATTCTTCACTCGATAAAGATTACACCGCCCGTGTACACCTTATTTTTTCAATTAAACTACCGGCACTGCGTCACATGTTACATCATTTCCATGGTCTATTTAACAAAATAGATTCCATGTTGTCGTGCGTCTGTTCAGTAATAGATCACAGATGACGTCAAAATGTCGTAAAAACAAAGAAGTGGCACACGAGCCGCAGGGCACATTTTGACGTCCTCTTTGATCTATTACTGAACAGACCCACGGCAACGTGGAATCTATTTGTTTTATACAATGATCAGAAAAGAAAAAGACCGATACACATACCTGCCTAGAACCGCTTGATCTTTTGAGGATTTGTACTAGTTTAGGCATTTTTTAAGTCCCAAACCCAACTTTTCATCTTAGCTTCTTCTTTATCTTACTTGTGTACAGTTTCTTCGAAAAGTTTTTCACCGTCTTTTCTGGCTCAAAGAAGAATAATTGCGAAAACATTTTGCAAAACAGCGAGTCTCTCGTAGCGAAGACACACGATGGCAACTGTTGTGAAGATTTCTTGTAGTTTAGGCATTTTCAAGTAGTCAATAGCTTTTTTGGTCTCCGTTTCTCCATTTTTCTTCTTTGTAAATAGCTCCTGCTAAACTTTTTCCGAAGCTTTCACTTGCCTCAATCCGAAATAATCTTACAAACATTTTAAAAACCGCGTGCCATGTTGAACAAAACAAAGAAAACAAGTTTCTCGTGACGTCATCCATGTATCTGTACTCTAATAGATCATGGGCAACGACCAATCACAGCGCGCGTAGCATTCACATCATTGTATAAACTCTCATAGACCATAGCTCTCGACCAATCAGCGCGCGAGGATTCGCTCAGATTGTAAAATTATAATTGGAAGCCTGCGAAAGAAAGGATACACCCAAGGCAAAACGAACCTCCTTTTTAAAGCGACTGTGCTCCCTAAAATTGTGTACGGCCTTTCAGTTTACGCTGCTAGCGTTTCAGACCTTGCCGCTTAGTAAAACGTTTAAAAAATGCCAGAAGAGTCGCTATAAATATTAATTTTGAATGTGTTAAAAACAGATTTTTTTAACAGATTAATTTTTAACTATAGACAAGCTGCTGTATAAATATTAGATTTTAAAAATTTTGGAAGACTTAGTTCACTTGCACGTATATAACTGTATTTTTGCCCTTGTTTCTTGTCTTTTTATATAGTAACATCTGATATGTGTTTTTATCCGATGAATTCTGATTTTCTCAGTCTCTGTGTTGAATGCTAGAACAGGACGCCAAAAACCCAACTTTTGTTCCACAAGAGCAAGGGATGTTCACCGAGTCTGCAACAGGCTTTTTTGTTTGCGTGTTTCAGGCGAGCGGAGGCAACGGCGAGGGGGCGTTGAGGGCAACAACAAGAAAAAAGGACCGCTTTGCAGGCTAAAGGGAAGTAGATCTCGGCGCTGCGGCTTACATCTCATATAACATTACTTCGGTTCACATTAACCAGGTCTGTGTGCGAAACAGTAAAGACCACTAATGATCTGCCAGCGAGGAACCAACATTTACTGAAGTTCAGTCTCACAGAAAATAGATTTTGTAGACACGTACTACTTTCACTCAGCAGAGAATTATCCACCCATCTTTACAAGCGCACTGAATAGGGCTGAAGCCTAAATCGTTGTCCTGGATAGAGACTGTTGGAGAAGGATGATTTCCTGCCTTGTATTCCAATTTGGAAAAAGGAAGTGATGATGATCATGAATGTAGTGTTCCCTCGAATAATAGCTGTGTCTCGATTAATCGCCCCCTTTAGACGGAAATTTTTAAAATAATCGCCTCCCTTGAATAATCGCCCCCTCTCCCACCCCTCTTGCCTCTTCTCTTTCTTTTGTCCCCTCCCCGCCAAGTTAAAGTAGAGTCTGACCAGCAAAGCTGATCTGATGAAACTCTTAAAAAGCCCATATGTGACCATTTTTCTTGTTTTAATGATAAAAGGCCCGTTTTTTGTTTACATCAGCCACAAACTCAAGCCGGAACCATATTAGCTGTACGGATAGAAAACGCAAAACAAATACCTCACAGATGGCGCCGCAAAAGTAAAACCAAACGAAAACCGTTTTGCTATTCGTGTTTTCCCGCGTTTGAGGCGCCTGGCCTGCCGTGGAGTGGGTATTTAGTTTTACCTGCAGTCGCCCATCTTTAATGATTTCGAAAAAAAGGCGCCAAAAGATGAAGTAGGGGAGGGGGAAGGTAAGGTTTCCTTGGGTATCTGCACTTCTCGTGCCCCCGTCTCCTTGTAACTCGTCCGAGCCATAATCCTAGCAGACACCATCCCACCCCCGCAAAAAAACCGCCTGTTCACCGCAATCTGGGCTGGCTACATGAATCAAGTTCTTCGACAGCCGAATTGTTGATTGTGATTGCTAGACTTTGTTTTGGTTTTTGACGAGTACGGTATGACCACTCCATCGCCGTATAAGTTTACTTTCGTGACATTTGTCTACTGATTTCATTTTAAGAAGTTCATCAGTTCAACAATTCAGGAGAGTAGGATCTAAAAACAACAAATTAAACAAAAAAAGCAAAACTAAACCGGGTAATGAATACTGTTGTAAGTTCCGTAGTCCTGTATGTCGAATTCGAACTCGATTGAAAAATGGATTCCTCGAGCTCTAAATTTCGGGGAGTACATGACATTCTCCCTTCAATTACGCCATCGTTACTTTCTGTAATGCTTCTTTTTGCTTGCAGATGTCTCTGGGTGAAGAATTAAACAAGTAACGAGCGGCTGATTGTGCTTGAAAATCGTTTAAAATGTTTCCTTTGGAAGTCATTGTGAAGACTGACGGCTCGCCCGAAAACCATAAAATAACGACGCTTACGCCAAAATAAAGAATCTTCGAGACATCCTTTAAACAAGTTGCAGACAACCACGGTTGATTATGAAAGTAAGTTTGATCGATCATGATTGAGTTTAGGACGATAATGTGGTTATAAGCGGCTCATTTGCTAGGCAAAACACGATCACGTAATTTATTTATTTTAACGTTGTTTCAAATATGAATATTACAAGACAGTGCTTATGGCTTTGTATCAACTTGGTAATTGGACGGAATGTAATGGAAGTTAGATAAGCGACTGACAGAAAAGTTCAGAGAACGCTTTAGGTAGGTCCAAATTCGTCACGGCTAAATGCTCACCCTTAACTGGAAAAAAGGTCAGAGAGCAGATCTGAATGGATCTGTTGGAATTTAACTGAGTTCAGCTGTGATTTCAGAAACTTAACGCATTAATCCTTAAGACCGGGCTTTTTTTCTCCTCCTGTAACAGGGGGGGGGGAGCAGGGGGGGAGGGGGCTTCCAGAGCCCTCCTCTCTTACTTCAAAACTCCTCATGGTAAGACTACCAAAGTTACACAATCAGAATAAAGTACCAATCATTTCCAACATCTAGGCAAAACGTTATTGACATCATATGTCATGTCATTATTGATGTTATGATGACGTCTTTTTCTACCAAAAGAGAATCTTGAACCTTCCTCAATCTTGGCATTTTATTCTAATTCAAACCCGTACAAATCGAGGTCACCGTGATAGAAAATATGATCTGCATATAATTTAGGATTCTTAGGAAGCAAAAAAACCCACAAGTTTTGAAATTCCCAGGGAGGTTAACACTGTTAAAAATTAAACCCAGCATCTGGCATTTGGTCATTACAAATTCATGTTTTCTCCTAAAATCAATCACTAAAAATCCTTAATTACACTAACAGTTAAAATAAATTTGATAAAATATTGCTAAAAAAAATCCCTTTTTATAACAAATTTTGAAAAACATGGCTATCAAGACTCGGTTACCATGGAAACGTCAATGTTGATGTACGCAACATGACGAGTTTTAAACTTCCCTGATATTTGTTTAGGAAAAGTAACTAAGTTTCCCCTGCGAGAAGACCATGAATAGACCATGGCCAGCCATGGTTTCACCATGGTTGAACACGGTTTCCAACAAAGGTCTACCATTGTCTGACCGTGGTCAACCATGAACGTTAAATGGCACAAAATGGTGGTCATAGCATAAACAGTTTTGAGGTTATTCACTTTTTAGAGTTTTGCAACGCCCCCCCGTCTGAATAGGGTTGAAATCGATAGCTTGTTTTCTTATTCACCTTTAGGCGAGCATTATTCAGTAGAATCGAGAACAATCCCGAAGCCAAGTTTATAACATAAGATGCATGGCTATTTGCAAATGTTTATCTATACGCCACTATATTGCAGGACTTTCACTCTTCCGACTCTGACCACTCAGTACAATGCTTAAGTAGTTAACTAGTCGAATTACACAAATTTAGTTGGTAAAGGAAAATGACAAACCACTAAACGGGAAAAATGAGTAAGGACATGGCTAAATCAACAAGAAGTATGGCAACACAAAACAGCCTATATCTTATCAGCTTTTTTAAAAACAA